GAGAGAGAGAGAGAGAGAGAGAGAGAGAGAGAGAGAGAGAGAGAGAGAGAGAGAGAGAGAGAGAGAGAGAGAGAGAGAGAGAGAGAGATGTGTTGCCCGCGTGTGGCCCTTGTAGAGCCTCCTCTCTCTTTGATCCTTGGGCGATGCATGCATTCGGTTGTCTTTCATCCCAATGGAGAGTGACTGTGACAGGGGACAGGATAGGCTGGCAGAAGCAGAAAAGAGTGTGGGCAGGCAGCTGCAGGCATACATGGGGAGGAGGGGACGAAGTAAAATCAAGGGGCACAAGGGGAAAGGGAATTGGAAAAGTGTGAGGGTGGGAACAAGGAACGTGGAGGGAGGAAATTGGGAGGGAGTGAACCTGGAAAATGACGATGTGTAGGAACTGCAAACGGAGGGGAGAGGCGGCACCAGCTGCGTCGACCGTTAAGTTTGCTCCAAAAACACCTCCCCTCCCCTCCCATCCCCTCCCCTCCCCACTCTCTTTCGGAAGTACTGTAAGTAGGAAAAACAAATGCTGAGCTGATGAGGGAGACGGAAGCAGTACCAACATCCTCAGCCTTTCACCTCCAGCATCAGCTCCTTGTCGCCTTCTGTTGCGGAGGCTGCACCATCATCGCCATGATGAGAAACGTCGCAGACTCATCCCTCAGCGTGGATAGACCACCGCCGGCTTTGGAAAATCCCATCGCGACAACATCTGCAGTGAACGGTATGCATGGCATTTACGCCATCCGTTAATATCGTCGGCTGAATTGTCAGTACAGTGTGTACACACACCACACCACAGATCACAGGATAGTGGTTTTTTTTTTTTTTTTTTTTTTTTTTTTTTTGGGGGGGGGGGGAAGGGAGGGGTAAATATGCTCCAATCTATTCACAGTGTCAACAGCCTAAACTTCGCTGTACGAGAAACAGCTCGTACAAGAAAGTGTTGTGTACTCGGTCGTTATTTATCACAGTTCAGTGAGGCAAATCGCAGTTTTGAGGCATATGGAGAGAGGGTGGAGAGAGGAGGGAGAGAGGATGAAAAGACGAGGGAGGAGATAAGGACTGAGTCTGCAAAAAAAGGGGCAAAGGCATATCCCCATCATCAGTACCTGTCTGTTGATGAGCAGGTGACCAGGACAAGAATTGGTTGCAGAGCAGTGCTGGTCCCCGGATGGACCGGGGGACCTTCGACGGACCGGGAGCCTACCAGTCCAACCGGGCGGTTCACTGGCCCGGCAGGCCCCCGGTTCGATTTGGCGCACTCCTTTTGGGGGGCGGTACGGGGGATTTTCGGGCGTCCCCGTCCCCGCCCAGCCTCTGGGAGGCCGCCGCCACAAGTGAAAAAAAAAAAACGGGCCCTACCGGACCCCGTTTTCTTTTGAGAGCGCGCGGCCAATCTCTGCCGCCGATCAGCGCAGATCGACAGTGGAGATCGACCGCGTGTTTCCAAAAAAAAAGGGGGTCCGGTAGGGCCCCGTTTTCGAATTTGAAAACGCGGTCGATCTCGACCACAGATCTGCGGATCTGCGGCCGAAATCGGCCGCGTTTTGAAATGTGAATCGCAGCGTGGTTTTGTGCTGCCTCCGCCCCTCCGCCCCGCCTGCCCCATGCTACAGCAACATCACACAATGTTGACGTCGTGCCATTCAGCATGCACATCGACGTTGTGTGCTGCCGCCACGCGACCAGTGCCAGTGCCCCGTCTCCAGCCCGCCATCAACCTCTGTGTGCAGCTGCTTCGCCCCGCCAGCCCGCTTTGTCGCAACAGCCCCCCATAGCCGCGAAGGTAAGTCCACCAGCGCTCCTCCTCCTCTTCTTCTTCTTCTTATTATTATTATTCTCCTCCTCCTCCTCCTCCTCCTCCTCCTCCTCTTCTTCGTCGTCTTCTCCTCCTCCTCCTCCTCCTCTTCTTCGTCTTCTTCTTCTCCTCCTCCTCCTCCTCCTCCTCCTCCTCCTCCTCCTCTTTTTCTTCTTCTCTTCCTCCTCCTTGTCCTCGTCCTCATCTTTTTCCCTCCTCCTCTTCTTCTTGTCCTCCTCCTCTTCTTCATCTTTTTCCCTCCTCATCCTCTTTTTCTCCTCCCCCTCCTCCTTCCCCTCCGCTTCTTCTTCTTCTTCTTTCTCTTCTTTTTCTCTTCCTCCTCCTCATCCTCATCATCTGTTTCCCTCCTCCTCCTCTTCTTCTTGTTCTTCTCCTCACCCTCTTCTTCTTCATCTTTTTTCCTCCTCCTCCTCCTCCTCATCCTCTTCTTTCTCCTCCTCCTCCTCCTCCTCCTCCTCCTCCTCCTCCTCTTCTTCTTCTTCTTCTTCTTCTTCTTCTTCTTCTTCTTCTCCTCCTCCTCCTACCTCCCCGCCGAGCCCGAGCCGTAGGTAGCGAAATTTGTTTTCTTTTTTTCATCTCGGATTCTTCTTCTCCTTCTCCTCCTCCTCCTCCTCCTCCTCCTCCTCCTCACCTCCCCGTTGAGCCATAGCCATAGCCATAGCAAGCGCAGTCGGATGCCGCCATAAAACCT